CCTCAAGCAGGATGCGTGATGCAGGCGGAAAGAGGAACACACTAGAGACAGCGTGCGTGAGAGAGCCTGGAAGCGAGGCAGAGGGGTTTAGGTGGGGTGCCGTTCCAGGGCCTCGAGAAGCGGGGTTCATCCCACACTGCTGCCTGCCTGTGCCCAGCTCCGCGTACGGAGAGATGGTCGACACAGCCTGGCAGGTAGGTGGTCGACGAGCAAATAAATAATTCCAGCACCGTGTGACGGAAGCGGGGGCTGGGCTGTGGGAAGGGTGTGCCCGGGGGCCCCAGGCAAGGCGGAGAAGCTACATAGGTCGAGGAATGTTTGACCTGAGTTGGGAGGGAGCAGGGAGGGACCGCCACTGACCCTGTCCCAGGAAGGTAGGAGGGTGGGGCTGTTAGAGGGGCAGCAGACAGCTACACGCGACTGGCTCGTCAGGGGATGCTGAGGTTGGGTCACTGAGGACTTCCTCTGCCATGTCGAGTGGAGGATATTTAATCTGGGAAGCAGATTATGGGTTGAACTGCGTCCCCCGAGGTATGTCGAAGTCCTAACCCTCAGGACCTCAGAATGTGACCGCACTGGAAATAGAGTTATAGTCGGTTCAGATAAGGTCTCAGTGGAGTGGGGTGGGCCCTCAGTCCAATGTGACTGATGTCCTTATGAAGGAAGAAGAGACACCTGGTCACAGACAGGCAGGGAGGAGACAGCCGCATGCCAACAGGGTGAGGGGATGGACGGATGCCACCAAGGGACAGCGAGAACTGCCGACGGCCAGCGGGGGCCGGGCGGGCGAGGCCAGATTCTCCCCTATGAGCTTCGGATGGAGCCCGGCCTGGAGCCCGGCCCGGAGCCTGGCCCTGCAGACACTCTGGGCCTGGACTTGCGGCTCCAGAACCGCGAGACAGACGTCTCTGCAGAGTCGGCCACTCCGGGGCACCTCGCCATGGCGGCCCTAGCAGACTAATCCGGGGATGCTCCAGAAAGCGCTGTGAGAAGCCATGAGAGCTGACCCGAGTGAGAAGCATGGCCGTGAGGAAGGGCGGCCGGGGCTGGGAAATGCGGGGACACCGAGGTCATCGCAGGCGGGCGGCGGGAAGGGTGAGCTGAGCGACACCTCCTGGAAACCAAAGGCTCTGGTGGCAGACGGCTCCTGAGGGACCGTTAAGATCCGACCACACGGCCACCCCACACTCTGTTTTTATGAGCGTGGAGAGATGGCATTTGTTCCTATTAATTTCTAAGGGGAGTCAGAGCTTGGTCCCCTGCATGGGCCACACCTGTCGGACTGTGCAGCGATGAACTAGCGGCCACGAACACACACACCTCAGGTCTTCACGACACGGAGGGGCCTCGTGGACCACCACCGACTTAAAGACACTGCGTCGAATTATGTGAAGTGCATTCAACGTCATTGAACTACATCGGTTCATCAGAACTTTTCGTGGCTCAGGAGGTCGGATCCTCCACACACTTTGGAAAAAGGACCACACCTCACACCGTGCCACGGCCCCCCGCAGAGCTGTCACAGGCACTGATTCCACGCAAGCGGCAGAGCCGCCCAGGAGAGCTGTTTTCAACCAAACCAGCCAGCTCCCACGTCCTCAGCCGCAGAACGCGGATGAAAATCCCTGCCCCACCGTCTCGCAGGTCACGTGGAGGGTGAAGCGTGACGTCTGTGAGACCTCTGGCCAAGCTGAAGGCAGCGACAGGCAGAGCGGCCGGAGGGGCAGGGGTCTAAGGCCACGGCCGGGTTTGAACCCCAACTGGCTGCTCCCGAGGGGGGCAGCTGACCTCACCTCCCGTGTGCCTCAGTTCTTCATCTGTAAAACGGGCAGGGCCACCTTAGAGGGCTGTCGTGGGGACTAAGTGTGGTGACAGGCAAATCAACAGCATGGCGCCGTCCGGCACGCAGCTGGCACTCGGGTACCACAAGGCAATCCCATTTTTTCCCTTCAGTCTCAAGTTAGATATTTTGAATGTTGAAGAAGGGGCCATTAAACACAGATGGTATTAAACATCAACAAGCAGATAAGGACCCCTTATAATCTAAGATGGTGTCAGCTGTGCACAAAAGGAGACCAAGTCCATGCCATTTTAGCCCGGAGTAACCCCGGGTCTACTCCCTCACAGGGATCACCATGATAAAGAAACTCATTTCGTTAAAATCTTATTTTGGGTTTCCCCATCTTCCTGTAAATACTGAGTAATAAAAAACATAAAGCCATAACAAAGGGAAGATAAGAAGCCATCACCATTACTGTAAAATTTGTACCTACCCCGTTGAAGGATAAAGTGCTAGGGTCTGTGTCTTCCACTGGCTCCTTCGCCATGTGATCTGCAAAAAAAAAAAAAAAAAAAAGCATTTGCTTAAACTTAAAAGCACAAATGTGCCCTTTGATAACTGTCTTCATGTGGATACAAGCTGCCATTGTCAGGCCGGAGGAAACTTTCAATCATTAGGGGAGACAAAATGAGAAAGGATGGGCTCAGACTCCATCAGGAAAGAGATCAAGACAAACTTTACTTTTTAAAAAAACCATATTTTAGAACAGTTTCCTTATAAATAGCAACAAATACCCAGAATTACAAATTATGCAGACACGATACTGACAATACTTTTGCAGGCTGGATCTGACT